AAAACTTTGGAGGCTATTCTGTGACACTTACTATGGAGTGATCCTGAGAAGAAAAGGAGCTTCCACTTGGTCGCTTGGAATACGGTTAAGGACCCATTTCATGAGGGTGGTCTTGGGATCAGGTCAATTGTTTAATTCAATAAAGCATTATAGAGCAGTGGCTAGAGAGGTTCATGTGAGAGCAGAGCAGTTTCCGAAAAAGAGTGACCAAAGCTAAGGTCGGAACAGAAATCAGGGATTGGTACTCTAGAAGTACTAGGGGTTTGTAGGTGTTGGACTATAGAAGAAATAATTTCGATAAGGAAGGTTTTTAGATGGATGTATCCAGTAAAAGATTGGATTGGGCCAAAAGGTTAGCTTTGGATGAATGTCATGAGGGTGGAACATTTGTACAACACTTTCCTCCAACTTAGTATGGAGTAAACATTTATTCCAATGTTTGTCTGAATGTGAAAGGCCAAACGGAGCCTTGGATGAGGCAACTTGGAAGCTTGGCTTGAAAGGGGCCTTTTTGATAAAATCCTACCATCTCCATTTAGCAGAGAACAGAAGAATCAACGTGCAGTTCCCATGGAAACTGATCTGGGAGATTAATGCTTCGCCTAAAATGACCTTCTTTGCATGGGAAGCGTCAACAAATGTATTTTAACTATATATAACCTCATTATAAACAGTAATGGTTATTGTGAATAGGTGTTGTTTATCTAAAACAAGTGTAGATTCAGCAATTATCCTCTTCTTTTTATCTATTGACTTTGGTACACAGTCTATAGTCTGTAGGGGGTCAATTGAGTGATGGTTGGTTCAGTATGAGAGGAGATTTAGGTGTTAAGGGACATCCATGGGGATAAGCATTAAAATAAGAACTTGGGCCCTATCCCTCTGACTATCTTATGTGTTAATTTGAAAGAAAGAAACATAAAGGCTTTCGAAAGTATCAGAATTTTCTTTTGATACTGTAAAAGGTTGTTTGACCCTAGACTTTAGGTTTTTTAACTAGGGTCATCATCTTTACATTTTTGAGGATTTAAGAGACTTGGTTGATATTTTGACAGATTTGTGCTTCTTGTATACGGGCTGCACATCTTTGATGCCTATATATATTGTAGTAATTTTTACTGTTAAAAAAAATCATAAGGTATCTACTGATGAAATATAGGTGATGTAAAGCCTAAAAGAGCATCTTGTGTGACTTTAAGCCTGTGGTAAGATGTCGGAGTTGCTTTTGAGATTTCTAAAAGGCAATAATTTTGTTCAATAGTCTGTTTTTAAGTAAGGATTACTAATTAGCACTTCTCAGCTCCAAGATATGAAGACTACTTCAGGAGAAACAGAGGTGAAATTTCAAGTGTCAAGAGATACACTCGGTTCCATGTTGAGATCGATGGCCTACATTCGTGAGCAACTCTGAAGTCGTAAGCATACTTTTTCCTTTACCTTTTAAGTATTGATTTTCTTGCGATTTAATTATTTGTCAAGAGCCTGTTTGCTGCATCCATGTTTTCTCTGAAGCACAGTTTCCCTTAATAGGGACCAATAGTTAAGCAATTTGCTTGAACTGGTTAAACATGTGGATCTTGTTGACCTTAATGGAAACATTTCAGCCTGACACCAAATTTAGTTGTAATAAGGACCAACTATTTGGACACATGTAAACTACTGTGCAGCTATGCATAGGCCAAAAAGTATCATGGGAGTAACTTTAGAATGTACATGAAATATTATATGTATGATATCTGAAGCATGAACCACTTATTGTTCCTTCCAAGACATAATTTCCTCATCACTTGTCTTTTTAATTTAAAAACAATTTCATTGATTCATAACCAAATACCTAGTCAATTGATTATGCTAGCTGTTCCTAACGTCATACCCTGTGCAACTGGTCAGGCCAGGGAGACTTTCCTGGAAGCAAATTTGGAAAACAAACACTATTCTTGAAATTACATTTCTTTTTTTTCTTTTTTTTTTTTTTGTGGGAACCTGCCTGGAAGAGAATTCTAGTAATAGACAGGAGGAGGAGGAGGAAGAGGAGGAGGAGTAGGAGGAGGAAGAGGACGGTTAAAGTACTAGTCAATGGTTGTTGTTTGGTGCCTAAAAAGGCATCTTCAAATTGTCTTCTGCTGGGGTGTTCGCAGCCTTGAAAGCTGTAGAATCGTTCTTTGGATATCTGAATTTGAGTTGCAAAACTTTTGAAAAAACAAGGACCAGTAGAGTTTTATGATGCTGCATGTACCCATCTTTATAGAATTAGATATTATTGGTTTCACACTCCCTTTTCTTTTTTAAGGGTCGAAAATTCTCCCATGGGGAGTATTACAGGACACCATCGATTTGACTGACTTATGACCATTCTTTTGTATTGTCTTGGTGCCAATATCTTTGTAATACCATGAGTTAGTACCCACAGTTCTTATTAATTGGTATTTTTGCGATTGTTAGATTACAAATATATACAATCACAAATTACAAATATATGCAAAAATATCGGATGTGGAAGTTACATAAACAACATAATACTTCACACTGGTTTCACCTTTACTCAGTTTGGTTTGTAGAAGTCCACAGTTATACATCACATTGGAGTGGACACACTCATTTAATTTTCCCACCTTAGCAGACATTATATTGATGTCACGGGGGTAGGCAAATGCATGTCTCTAAGAATTTTATTTTCTTGTCATATATAACAATAATAAGCAAACTGGTAGGACCTACACCTAAACTTCATTTAGGAAGCTTCATGCACAAGAACCGGAGGTGAAACTTGATTATGCTATTGGTGCAACATGTCTCTTGTTCAGTAAGTGCCTATTTTTCGTAACTTCTTGTAAGTGGTGACTTGCTGTTAGAATAGCTTTTGAGTAACTGAGGTGAAGGAAGCTAAATAGTTGGAGCGTATTACAACAATTTTTTTTTTCCATCTATGATTTGTTCTTATGGACCCAAAAGTTATGATCGGTGACCCCTTTTTTTCTCTTGAGCACAGATCCCCTTGTGCTAAAGGAAGCATGTTTCTGGTTATGAACTCTATTAAGAAGAGGTCTCTCATGGTGAAGTTTCCCATCACAGGTCGAGACTCAAATTGATCACTGTATCGAGGCACAAATGGCGAGCCGCTCTCCATCTAAAAGGTTGTGTACCATGTGAACATTTTACTGACAGAATCTAGTTTGGTTATAGGTAGGCATTTGGTTACCTAAGTTTTTATCAACCACAATTGGTTTGTTTGTAGTTAGGTCTGATCATCCATATGTATACATACATCTAACGCGTAGATGGTATATCGTTTCCATGTAGAGGTGTATTGGAAACCATTTGTAAATGTATGTTGGCAACACTCAGATCTTGATTTAATGCACATTGCAGATATAGCTACATATCTTTCATTTTTAATTCCTTTTCTTTTGTTTTATTATAGTATAAAATCCACTTTTCAAGTGGCAATATTGGCATTTGAAAAAATTGCTATCTTCACTTTTGCTATATGTAATTAATATAGTTCTTTTAATGAAATCAATTGGATTCACTAAGATAATCAAGTTAAATGATACAGCGTTATGCCTTGATCAAATAAAAAATAAAAAATAAAATGAATTACATTGTGTTTAGTACATTACATTTCTGAATAAATATAATTTAATAGTACAAATCTTGTATTTAGTATATGTGGATCTAGACGACAATTGTTGTTTGATTATTTAAATGTTATCGTGATGATAAATACTTAATTCTATTTGTATTTGATGGTTTACAAAAGTATAACATTCTTATTTAATCAAAAATTTAATTTACAAGAATTATATACATTAATAAATTATAATTTCTAAAACTATTAATACTTGAACAAATAATTTGAGCCAAATATTAAGTAATCGTGTAGATTAATCATCCGTTTGGAAAAAAGAAAGGGAGAGGGAGACAAGGAGAACAACTATTTGATCTCTACGGTAAGCAAAAAAAATTTCTCATCAAGCAATTATATCCAATTCGTTATATTAAAAATAAGATTTTATTGTGAAGACCAATAATCATCATCTCATTCCATCCCATCCAACCTATTCATTCTCCCCTTACCCTCACACAAACAGAGTTTTCTTGTTACTCACAGTATGTGTCCGCAATGGCGCTTAGCATGTAAACAATAATTCCATGCAAGACAACCAATGGATAAAAATAAACAAATCACAAGAACAATCCCAAAAGTTCTGCACAATACGTTTACAAGAGCTCACTCTATCCAGTTTCCTTACATGAATTGTCTCAGCAACCATCATCCACGAATTGATGCCCG